GCGGCTCCGGGCGGCTGCACCGGCAAAGGCGGCGCGTCTCAGTGAGCTGAGTTATTCTAACGAGCCTTCATTGGACCTTAATATTAGTTATGGGCAGGTGCGGAATTTGCATAATGGTTCGCTCGGCGCGGTGTTAATTGCTGTGTGTGAAGTGCCCCGCTAATGAGATAACTGCGTGAGGACTCCGGCAAGGAGAGGAGCAAAGCAGGTGGAACGTTAATCAAAGAAGGAGCGCGGCCCGCATCAAAGCGCGCTTCGGCTGCTGCGGTGAACTGAGCGCTCGGTTCTCGTTACTCTAATTCATTGTAAGCTTGTGGCTGCAGTTAACAAATTCTGGAAGTGTCAACACGCAGTGTAAAGGGCAGGCTACTCTTAGAAAAGCTTTCCTGAAAATCCAGCTGGTTTGTGTAATTCTTTCAGTGCTTGTCCGCAGGGCTGTGTATAGCGGTTTTCCCTGAAATGCTTTTATGTGGATAAACTTTCGCTACTGTCAGATATGATGCTGTATTATCAACCCTTGCTGAAGGTGTTCTGTGGGAAAAGCTCTTAGGAACTTTGGATGGATTCCTATGTTAAGTGTGTAGTCTCTTCTCTAGAAATGCTGTTTTGTCTTCTATAGGTACCTCAGAAAATTTGATGGCTTCTGACTACACTTTCATTGCACTCTCTCCTCATAGTTCCTGTCTGTATAGTGGCTTAATGAGAATTAAAGCTATCTGGCATTTTTCTAGAAAAAATGCGTGGTCTGGTAGAAGCAAATTTCATGTGATTTGTTTCCCGGGAGTCTGTACTATGTATTCTAAGTTTGCAAAAAGTTTTTTCATCATAAGCACATAAAATGTAGCAGTATGAAAAATTTTATTTTAACCTAAAAATCCCAAACTCAGTGGACTTCCCCATTTTCAATTTTGCTGGAACAGAGTAGATGAATAGAGGTGATTTATCTAGCGTTTCTTTTGTTTTTCCTATAACAGTTAAGCAAAATAAAAAATCCTAAGTTAGGTTTATTGGTTTTTAATGCAAATTACTTTCTTTCTGTAGGTTTTTGAAGTGTGCAATGAGGACAGGAAGGGCTATTTAAGCAGAGAAGACTCTACACTTGGTCTAGTAATGTTTTATTTGCTAGAAACCCTCAAAGGTACATACTTTTTTTATGTTCTGAAGATCCATCTTATGGATGTCTCACTGTTGAGAACACAGGTCTACACTAATTGGAGTGTGTTGCTGTAGGTGTGGTAAACAGAAATACCTACAAATTCTAAAAGTAATTTTCCAATTTGCACATATTTATTCCAAAAGAAAATAATCAAACCCCTGGCTTTTCTCTTGAAGACTGTGATGAGTAGAAGGTTGTATTGTATTTCATATATGTACAAGATATAAAAAGTGACTTACTGAGCTTGTTATTGGTGTTTATTAGTGGTACGTTCAATTCTTTATTCAGTGGTTTCAGTAAATATGAAACTGCTGCATATCCCAGTAATAAACGTGTATTCTCAAAAATATATCTGGTTTTAGTTTCAGGTAATAGTTGGACATTTTTAGCCATGACATCTCAAATGTAAATCTACAACTGTACAGAAATCTTAAGAAAAGAAAGATTGAGAGAAAGAATGTGTTTCCATGCTTAGAGGAAAATACAGGATATCTTGTATGGCTTGATGTAGTTTTAGAAGTCACATTTTTATTCAAGTAAGTACATGTGAATTTAAAAAGAGTATGAAGAACACAAAAGATTTTAGAATACACACAGTGTGTGTGTCTTTCTCATGGCATGTCAATAAATGAGACTAATCTACTATAAAGTGCATTATATATGTAAAGTATAGAAAGGCTGAATCATCTTTATTCTTCAGCCTGAGCAATCTTCTTCCCTAATGACCACTTGGGACTAATTATTATTATTATTTTCAAATTAAGCATGTATATTACAAAAACTGTCTTGACAAGGTCATAAACAAAATTGTGTCTATGATAATTTAGAGTAAAACCCACAAAAATATTTAGTAAACAATAAGAGTAGTAATTTCTGATGCATTTCAGCTGTGGGTAAACATTTTCTCAATGAACTGTGGCCAGATCTAAAAATGCTTAAGGCTTCTAACGTGAGCCCTAACTGCTGAATTATGAATCTCAGAATGCTCAGCTTCTTCCTTATCTATCTTCTCCTAGCTATTTTTACCATATAAAATTAAGTGTTCTGTCAAATTCCCTGGATGTTTCTTCCAGCAGGAGTGCTCAAAACATGCTTAAGGCATTTAAACAAGAGCAGGCTCTGTGCATGAGTCACTGATGGCATCTCCTTGGAAGGAGAATACAAGTAGAGGACTCCTGGGAAACAGGAGATGCAGGTTTAGTTATTGCTCCCTGAAAAGGTGCCAAGTCACACCTGCTGTGGCTTTAGGCACTGCTGTGACCATTTGGTCTGTGCAGCTGCACAAAAATTAATTAAGAAACCTTTGTTCTAGGGCTGATTCTGTCATCTCGTGGTTTTGCTTGCTCCTTAAGTGGGCCCAATTCCAGCAACTGTTGCCCTTTCCCCAATTACTGCTCCTTGTGAAGATCCCTAAAAGGTCCCTGGGGAGGCAGATACTTCTCTTTTTGTGGCTCCTGCTAGTGTGCATTAGGTAAGGTTTGTAGCACAGCCACATGTTTTGCTTTTGCTGATGACTAGGTCCTGAGTGTGTTCCTTTCAACATGTGTGTGGTTTTTAATCTGCTTCTGAGAAACACAACTTTCTCTGTGCACCAGAGAGGAACCAAATGCAGATGTTGAAGTCCTAAAAGTCAATTGCTAGGATCCAGTTCTTGAGCATGTTATTGTGCAATTGCTTTGTTGTCAAAATTCACAAAATCCTAGGCTGCAGGAGCAGCCCTTCTATTTTTTTGGAAACGATTAAGAAGAGCCCTGGCAAGGAGAGTCCTTTCAATTGTTTTTGCAAGACATGGGGAATGGTGTGCATTCATTATTTCTTAAGGTGAAACTGGTTTTCAGCTGCACTACTTACTAACACTTTCAGTAGAAATGGCAATTGCTTAACATCATCAACTGCAGTCAAGCAACTGAATTTTTAGTAAATTGTTGCTGCATTTTTTTTGATCATGTTTGCATTTATTCTAAAAGTTAAAAGTAATACTAACTTTACCCACTAGATGTCATGAATGAACTCTTCCTTGGAAAAGCTGAGCTCTAAAAATTTGAATCACATTCCTATTCTGCTTGATTTTTCTAAATCATTTGTAATAATAATGCTATATCGTGAGTAAAATATTATTTTAGTATGGTTGTTAATATAAATTTTTAACTTTATGTAATTTTAATGTTTAAAATTAAACCTTCTGAGGCAAATAACTGGGAAAACTGTAACCAGAGATTAAGCTCATTGTTGAACTGATACTGTATGTATATCTGCATATAAATACTGTCATTTCTGAGAACTAGCAACGTTGTGGGAATCATGTCTATGTGACTTTTATTTTTTCATTCTCTGACAGTTTGGTCCAGTGATGCTCTTTTCCTCAAAATTATTTGAAGTCATCTAAAATGCTCTTATATTTCAGCAACCATTCAGCTAACTAGCTCCTGGCATTTAGTCTTCCAACTGAAAAGGGGACTGAAGGAATTGTAGTCATTAAAATATGTAATTTCCAAGCTGAAGTTCCTTCCTGGTACTGTTACATTTAGACCTGACTAAAAGCCCTCCCTGCAGTGTTCCTGGGAGGCCAGGCCCCAATGTCCTGGGTTTTCCTTGTGCCAAGGCTGTGCCTTCAAGGAGGACCCCAGCAGGTCAGCAGCTGCTGCTGAACGAGGTGCCAGCAGCAGGGCACCCTGGCAGCCAGGGCAGAGAAGGGCAGTGTGAGCTCAAGGCTGCTTCCAGCTGCTCTGCTGGCACATCCTATCAGAGCTTTCTAGGCAGGACTCCCTGCCTGTTAATATTTCTGACATGGTCATGGGGAGGTGTTGCAGGCGTGGTGGAACATGCAGCCTTAGCTTAAGTGGGCTCATCATGTCTGGCTTGTCCTTTCTCCAGACTGGAATAAGCTGAGGTTGCTCTGGAATCTGCTCCCATGCCCTCAGGTGGCTGTCTCAGTGCTGCAGCTGTGTGCAGTCTTGTACTCTGATAACACAGGTGGAAGGGTTTATGTCGCAGACATTTTTTCATAGAAATCCTTTCTTTCAGATTTGTCCATCTTCTGAGAAGCAAAGGCCCAGAAGATGAATGTAAACAATTGTTATCAGCTGCTGTGGAATGCAATAGGATGCACCTGTGATTGGCTCATCTTCCATGTGTACCATTAAGGGCCAATCACAGGAGCAGCTCAGGGACAGATTCCCTGGACACAGAACTTTGTTATAGATTCTTTCTGTTCTATTCTTAGTTTAGCAGCTCTCTGTGACAGGTTTAGACTCATGAGCATGCAGTCACATCAAAAACCAATATAATATAGCTCAAAGGGACCTCTCTGCTTTGTCTATATACTCCCTTTCTGATCCTTACGTTGTTTAAAGATGTTTTGCAGGGATCTCTTGGTCACCTCCTAAATCAGTTCTGAAAAATCTTTTTTTTTTTTTTTTTTTACTGTTTTCCTCATGTAATTTAGCTTATTGCTTTTTTACTATAAATGAATCCTGATAACACACTAATATTAGTGGATCTTGGAAATTTGCTAATCAATATATGTCACTCCAGTGTTCCTGTCAGGTAAAGTTGTGAGGTAAGAACCTGCTGAAAGACACTAAAGGATATATATAGTACATAAAATAAGATGGGTTCCAGAAAAGCTGTAGAAGCATAAATGATGCAAATATTTCTCGCATTTCCTCTTATTTTTTTCTGTATTTTTATTGAAGTTTTTATTTTAGACAGATTCACCAAATTAATTTTGATCCAGCTGGTCTTCAGTAAATTCCAATCTGAATATTAAACCAGAAATTTCTTTCATTGTTTAGAGGAAAGAACAGATGTGGGTGCTGATGCTCCAGAAGTTAGATTTGAATATTACAGTTCCTTTGTGTATAAAGAACTCAAATTTCTACAAAGTGAAGCATCTTTGTTTAAAACTACTGAGTTTGAGATTTTGATATTGATTAGTACTCTGTTAGGACTACATATATACTTCTTTTTTGGATAAAAAAGGTGGTTTTATTTAATTAGAATAAAATATTTTCTTACTTAAATGCCATAGTCGCCAGTGTTGTATAATATGTACTGATCACGAAGCTGGTGTGGGGTCAGGAGAGTCAGACATGGGAGGAATATCTGAGGGATCTGGGGTTGTTTAGCCTGGAGAAGAGAAAGCTCAGGGGACACCTTATCATTCTGTACAACCACCTGAAAGGAGGTGGGGGTCTCTTCTCCCAGCAGCCAGCAAGAGTCCAAGAGGAGATGGCCTCAAGTTGCCCCAGAGGGGGTTTGGACTGGATATTAGGAAAAATTCCTTCAGCAAAAGGTCTGTGGGGCATTGGGACAGAAGCCTGGGGAAGCAGTGGAGGTTCTGGAGGTATTTAACACACTGGTAGATGCAGTGCTCAGGGATGTGGTTTGGTGGTGAGCAAGGCAGTGCTGGGTTAACACTTGGTCTGAAAGGTCTTAAGGGTCTTTTCTTACCTAAATGGTGCCATGATTCTGATCTTTCATTCTGTAACTGAGCTGACCGTGGCTATTAAAGACATTTCATACAGTTGTGTAGTATTTTTAGTGCTTCTATGTTAGGTTTAGCTTGAACTTATTCTTGCCACTCAAAGTGGCATTTCTTAATAGCAACATTATATTGATTAATGACAGAGAAAAGTATTTAGTAACTTTGAGTGTTCAAGCTGGTGATGAAAATTTCTATGAATTTTTTGATAATGATGCACTATTAACATGGGAAAATACTGGACTCCTACACCATAATTCAAGAAATAAGCTTCTCATTTATATAGTCCTGCTTGGGTTTTGTTGACCGTGACATTACCAATTTACACTCAAACTTCTGTTTGTGGGGTCATGTGGCAAGTCTTATTGCACAAATTATTCATATAAAAAATGAAGTTATAAAAAACTGAGGTTGCTTTTATGCTAAATTCCATCTTCCCTTTTGCCACGTGACTCCACAGGTATTTGTATAAATTTGTTTGAAAGGCATTAGGGAAGCTGATTCTGTTTATGATGCTAGAACACATGCTCATTAAGCCACACCCTTTCTGGTAAATCTTTAATTTAGGCAACAAATACAAAATAAAGATTGTTTGGTTTGGGATTTTTTTCCAGGAGAAAAAGCACGTGAATATCTGAACAAGAAACAGTGAAGATAAAAAGATAGATCATGGATTTGTTTATACCTAGTGGCTTTTATAATTTTTAAGCTGTCCTTTTTGTGTGTTGACACAGCTCTGCAGCCTTTTCTAGTAGCACATGAGTCGGCAGCTCTCCAAATCAATGAGTGGGCGGGACTCTATTATAGGAGTCATTCTAGAAAAGGAAAATTGTATGCTGTCATTTTCTGGGCTCTCATGTTACTATGAAAGAGAAGGAATAAATGGATGGAAAGCTTATACTACCTTTTTTATAATTTCCCTTCCATAGTTATCCAATTGAATGGAAAGCTGCTCATGCAGGCAAGTTCAGCATGTTTGGGCAACCTCTGTTATTATAGAAATGGTGCATGTACAGAACCTGGTAGTTGAAAGCAGCAAGACAGTGTAATCCTGGAAAGTGAGATGGTAATAGTTCTTAATATATGATTTTCAAGAAGAAGTAAGCAAAAAGGCACTGGAAATCTGTACACTGATAGATTTAAATTGAGACAGCAGGTGGAGCTGAAGGAGTTGTGCTTTTGAACCACCGCAGGAAGAAGAGAATATGAATGAATCAAAAGGAAAAGAAGTGCAGAGCTTTTGTTATGTTACTAGATAAAGGAAAAATTCCTGTAGAATACAGTCATCTTCTCTTCTCAAGAAAAGTAATTTGTTTAAAATGAACAGAAGTCATATATCAGCAATTATGTGAGAAGGGTATTAATGTGTGTTTACATACTGAGCTGAAGTGGGATCCCTTTTCCAAAAGAAACATGCATCTGCTGAATTTTTGTGTCAGGATTTTTGCATGTTTTATGGAGAGACCTTAACTTTTGTGGGTCAGATTTTTGTTTCTTAATTTTTATGTTGTATTTGATTTTAGAATAAATGGTCGATTCAGAGCTTACAAACAAGATTTATATTTTAATTTCTTTAATTTTCTGTTCCTTAGAAAGGTAAAGATAAATGTACAAGACTTGCACACAGCATACAGAAGGAATAACCAATTCAGTTTTACACTCAATTTTATTATGGGTTTCACAGGAATCTCTAGCTGGGGTTATACATTATTTCAGACTTGGCTTCTGGGAATGATGCCAGATAGATTGTTTATGCAGCATGGATCTTTATCCATGGCATGCAAATGGCTTAGAAAAGTCCAGGTTTCTCTCCAGTGTAAAGAAACATGAGATGGCAGGTAACAAAAAAAAAAGTAGAGGTAAACAGAAGTATTATACTCAAGTATAGAAAATATGTGAGAAAAATTTAACTATATTGAAATGTTTTCATGATTATTCTCTGACTTTGAAGGTTATTATTGCAGTTTTATTTTTATTTCTATAATTAAAACTATTCATAATCAGTAGACCTTAGTCGTACATATTTTTAAGGAGGAAAATGAAACTGGCTTTTTGTTTTTGGCAGGGAGATTTATTTAATTTTACATTTTTCTAGATCCATTATTTGAAAAGTTTGTTAAGTTTTATGAGGACAATGAAGATTGCACCATTATACAGTAATGAAACAAGTAAATATTTACAGCTCTTGATACGCACTATAAGGATTTTTTTTTCTTCATCTTTGAAATATTAGTTTAATTCTGAAGCAATTAAGCAGAACAGAACACCTGAAGGAAATAAAAAGACGTGATGTCCTGGATGCAGCAAAGTTAAATCAAGCAGTACTAGCTAATAAAGATGGTGTTGGTGTAGCTGAATAAGTCTGGCTCAGTTGCCTGCAGAGTTCTAGACTGCAGCTCTGTCTGTGGTGGCAGCAGCTCCTCCAGCTGTTAGAGGAAATCTCTGCCATTCCCCTCTCCTATTTGCTGCCTCTCATTGTGTCTCTATGACTCACATTTCCCCACTCATTTGTGCCACAGGTTTTACCAATTCCCTTGCTTGTGGCTGTAGATTTCTTTTACTTCTCATGACAGACCAAGGAAGGGACACCAAAGGAATGAGGTGTTGTGGTGTGTTGCAATGTCCTGTTTTAAACTTCCGGGTCCCTTCCCAGGTGTGCCTATGCCTCTCTCCCTTCCCCCTCGCCCCCTTGCTGAGTGAGTCCTGTCAATCAGGCTTAAGATTCCAGCAAGGCGTTGTGTGGTTGGTCCCTCAGGCCTGGGGGACATTGGATAGGTGTCCCTTGTCCCTTGAGACCCTGCCCCTTTCACCTGGTTGGTGGCTCACCTGTCCCCTCCCCTTCCCCTGTCCCGGAGCTTAAAAGGCTAATGAGACCATGCGGCCGGGAATTCTGTTGGCAGCAGTTGCCCCAGTTCAGACCTCTGTAACCATGGAATAAACATCTGGATATAACCCTCCAGCAGAATCCACTCCTTTATCTCTTCACCATCGCCAGAAGCTCTCTCTCCTGAGGTCAACGGAGTCCCTGACAAGCCTGGACTTGCACCAGTGCCCCGCTGCAGTCTCCAGCAGCCAAGGTATCTCTGGGGTAAAGCACCACAGTGCTGCCTTTGGCCCAGCAGCGAGGGTCACACTGACCCAGGCACAATCTAACTGGTTATATTGGGATTCTTATTCCAATAATGAGGGTTTTTTTTCTCATTCTCATTGGGAAGTAGATGTGGAGATTCTTTCTCATTCCTGTTACATAGCAAAGGATGTGCCATCACCAAACTGAAAAAGGGAAAACTTTATCAGAAACCTCTGAGCTGATGGATTTTCAGATCCTCTGCCTTTTTTTTCCTGATCTCAGACAGGACTATGGTCTTTGAGAAGAGGGAAAGTGAAACATATGGCAGATCAGATGTTGGGATGATCTGATAAGCATGCATTCAGCTTTTTGCCATGAACTAAAAGTAGCTTTTCAAGTGTTATTTTTAGTGGGTTATTTCAAAGGACTTAACTGTTTCAAGCACTGTGCTTTTGTTTGCCTTGCTATGGTCTACAGTAGCCTTGTTTGAGATGCTTTATTTTCCAGATGAGTCTGGAAGTGAATTCATAACCTGAGTGATTGATCAGCTGATATTGCTCTGATATAATGCATTCAGCAGGATTAAACTGAACTAATAGGTTGAGTAAGTAACATTTGTGAAAAAAAATTAAAACACAATGTTCAAAATATCCAAGTTGTCAATGAAAATGGTAGATTTGAAAAGTAATTTTGAATATCTTATAGTTATTTTCAAAGCTTTGCAAATTTCAAATTTTCAATTAGTTTGTTCAGTTTTTCAAAATGCTACTGGTAAAATGAAAACTTAAATAAGAGAGTTGTAGATGTAGGCACATTACTTTTGGAGAGTTCACACTAGCAAAAAGGAATAGTCAGTATAAAATTTGTTTTAGATTGTTCAGCTTTATATAGTTGCCTTTCTAAAACATTTTTCTAATGCAGTAACTTAGAGTGTATCATCATTTCAAAACTGGGAATTGATTAGCTTACATGCAAACATTGTATTAAGTAGTTTTAAAAAACACCCTGATTTACGTTATTTTTCTCTTGCCTATTCTTAATCTTAAAGATAGAGGATTTTTGCCTTTTGAAGACTTCAAGAGAGCTTTCAATTCTGTTTCTTCAAAGTTATCTGAGAAAATCTTATTTGAAGCCACCAGGTAAGATTAACAAATTGATCCATATTCCTGGATAGAAGTCTTTTTGTTCTTTCAGTTAATTGAAATTATTCGATTTTATCATGCAGCTGAAGATAAAAGCTTCAGCACCCATTACTGTTTCAGTGTCTTTATTAATAAAGATTATACACAAATTATTGTGTAAATAATGCAATAATTAATATAAATTTTATAACTAGTATTTTTAAAATAATAATAAATAAATAACAGGCACAGAAGGTAATTTGTTGCCTGTACTGTTTCTTAAGAAGCTTAAAACTATTTGCTTTTGCATTTTTCTCTTGTAATCAGGAAATGCGAGAGGTGCCTCAATGAAATTTACTTAAACAGGAGTGTATATTGCAAGGTAGTAGTGGTGAGATTTCTTGCAAGGTGAGATTGGCTCAGAAGTGTGGATGTTGAGCTTTATTTAGGCAAACAGAGGTGAGACTTTTGTCCTAAATTGATCTGTACAATTGGATTAAGACTGTATGAAAAGAAAGGCGTAAGAAATATTTTGGTCACAGATATTTGTGAGAAGTTTCATGTATTTGTGACACAGAATCTATATTACAATAGATTGTTGTAATAAATGAAGCATAGATATTTTCATATTTGTTGACACATTTCTTGTTCTTCTCTCTTTTTACCACAGAGATCAAAATTAAATTTTGGGACTGAACATAATTTCAAAGTGTTTCTTTTATGTTAAGTAAAATAATGTACAATACTTAGAAGTTCTTTAAGAGTTTTTAAATGTGATGACTGACCAAATGTGAGTTCTAAAATTGTCTGTGTATTAGCAGTTAATACAACACAAAGGGATCAGGTCTGTAGAGCAGGAATTTTATGATGGGGACCCAATATCTGTATTGAGGGGGTTACTTGGCCCAATTCTAGTCTGGTCAGCAGAGGGTGGAGTGCTTTGGGTGCATGCCAGGAGCATATCCTTCAGTTTCATTTCATCTGGAATAAATGCAGTTTGTGTACTGTGAGCGCTGTGATGTTCCCCATAGTACAGTCAGTGATGAAGACAGGGAAATTCAACATAAAAAAGCATTCCAAGTCTAAAGTAAAGCATAGGTAAATATTGAGACAAGGGGGAAAAGTTTAATTTGTATATTCAGATCTCTGTGATATTGTTAAATGAAAAGGGTTCCTTATGTTTATTTATAAAATTTTCTCTTTGGTGGAAGTGCTGGCTTCAGACTGGTTCCTTTAATTTGGAATGCATTGTTGCATGTGTTATTTTCTTATACTTTAAGTAAGATGTTGCAGAATAAGTGAAGTCTGTGCCTAGTGTCACAAAGGCAGGAACAGAAGGGAGGTAGAAAAAGAGTCAAAGGCACATTCATGATACTTGGCTTGTCTACTTACCATGCAGAGCAGGAAATTTTATGCTATGGAATGTAATTCTCAACATATTCTGAGATGTAAAATTGAAAACAAGTGTATTCAAGCTATGCAGAACACAAGGAAGGAATAATAGCAGTAATTGATTTGCATGAAGAGTGAAGGGCCCCACCAGAGTCATTTACCTTTCAGAGAAAGTAGAGTTGATTTGTAGGTATGCAAAATGCTCATAATAGGGGCATATATACATGTTGAACTAATTTTAACAAACTTGCAGCTTGAAAATGGAATCCTTTTCTTTATCATTCATATATATGTCTTATTAATATTAAAAATCTTTAAATATAACGTAGCAAGAAAGAACAATGGATTATTCTGGATTATTCTTCTAACCTACCCGTTAAGAGCTTTTATGCTCAAAATCTTTATTTGGCTACAAAGGAGACCCACTTGATACTTGAAGCCACTATTTATCTTTACTATATACTAAAATCTTAGCAATCTAATTAAAGAATTATTTTTAATACAGATTTAATAATTGGAAAAAAGAGAGATCAAAAAGCACTATGCAGCAAAATGTCTCAAAGCAGTTGTTATGCTCCTCCTACTACCTATCCCTTTCTCTGTGGTTTCTCTCAACCTTCCACTGTCCCTCTCAGTCCCCAAGCCCACAGGTTCAAGGCAGGCATGCTAGGGTGCATTACCACTATCCAAACTTTTTCACCAGAAGGAGTGTAATATTCATGTTTTCTTGTCTCTCTAGCATCTACTTTGGGTAATTTAAATATGTTTGCCTGCCCAGTTTACACCTTTGTCTTTCTTCTCAGGTCTGCAAGCCCACATTGTATTCCAATATATGGCACAAACTACATATTTCAGATATTTGTTCTTTGCTCTGTCACCTATAAAAATATTTTTGTCCAGTTCCTGTGTCTGCATCTCTTTAACTGACCATAAATGAGTTTTTAGTCTTGGTCTTTCAGTGTGCTTTTCACTTTTAGCCTGTGCCCTGTATTTTAACATCCCATGCCTTTACTACTCCATATGGCATGTTATTGCATCTGCTGTCATGCCAGGCCTGTATTTCTCTACATAAATATATAATTTTACATAGATAAATTCTTGTTACTACTATCTGTGTAAAGCTATGTTTATCCTGTATAAAGTTAAGAACAAATTAGACAGAGCCACCTGCTCCTTGAAAGAGCTGTTGTTACAGATAAATAAAGCAAGTGGAATCTCCAGGGCAGGTCAAACAAGTTCAGACAAAGCCTGAAAAGCCTCAGTCCTTGCAAACTCTCTGCAGAGTTGTGGCCTGTTACTTGGAGTGGCTGTACTGAATTTACTGAAATCTCTTGAGGACCATATCTAATCTCATCTCAGACTGATAAAATAATATTTCATGTAGATGTTCTTTCTCCTCCAGGGTTGTTTTCTTACAAATGTCAGTAATATACTGCTTACAGCTGTTGCTGAAGTTTGGAGAATATGGACAGGTTTTCAGTTTATATTTGATTGTATTAACTGACTGTAATCTTGCCTGAACAGTAGAGTAACATTTGTTTCTGATCTAATATTGCAGTCATACTCAACAAAATGATCAGGGGTTTATTATACACCTGATGTGCACCTGAGTAGAATGCCATTGAACCATAAAAACTCAACATTCTGGACACAGGAGTTGCAGAAGTGGCTGCTAAGGTAAATGGTGTGTTCCTCCATGGTGGGGCTCTCTGTGATGGGTAACACACCCATGAGAAGCAGAAGAATTGCTTTATACTATTGCTGCTGATCTCCATGTAGCTACAAGTACATGAAGTGTGTCAAGACCTTTGCAATAATTATTTGTGATAAATGGCCATCTGTAAGTGAACATGTTGTCATTTAAGGTAGGATTCAAATTCTTAAAAAACTACTTTAAGTACAGTTTTCCTTTTTTATGAATATGAATGTCATATTTGAATTATACAGTATTATTAATTACATATGCTGAAAAAAATATTTGTCCTAGCTGTAACATTTGCTCAGAAAAACAGTTTATTTGTGTGTTAAAGCCTCAGAGCATGATAATGGGAATAATAACAGTAGTAAGCTGAAAACCAACCATGTGTAAATGTGGATGAACCTATAAATGATGAAAAATGTCTTACAAACCAAAAGTGGACAGAAAATTCCCGTACAGTTTTTAAAGCTAGCAAGCATAACTCAGATCTTAAGGAAGAAAAGAAGGCATTCATGATCAGCTTTTTATGCTACTGTGCCTTTAGATTGATAGTATCTCACAGTAGAGGTATATTAGTACTTTTGTATGTATTGGTACTTTCCATACAAAAAAATGACCTAATTGTCTCATTTTTCTTTCATGTAATTATCTAGTAATGAGAAAATAACCTGTTTTTCAGAGCCACCCCATGGAAGAAATCTTATGCTCTTCTATGCAAGTTTGATTTATAGACATGTAGTGCAGAGCACAGTGAATATGAGACATTCATCTTCCTATGGCTAGTTGCTATGGAAACATAGTACACAGTACAATGTCATTCCAGCTCTGGTGATGCCTGCAGTAGTTTATCCCTTTGTTGTTCTTGTTTCTTAAGCAAAACTGTCTCGCAGCCTTTCATATTATCACACTTCATCACCTATACAAATCTTTTTCCTTATCTCTTGAGGACCATATCTAATAGAAAAGATCCAGTTTTTCTCTACCTGTACATGTCAGTACGTTTATTTTTTTTTTCAATCATGGGTTAAAAGCTTGTCCCATGCCCAAAAATAATATGCCATTGTCCTAACATTGGTAAAAAAAGATGCAAACAAGACTGCACATCAAAATGTAAGGCATCCGTGTCAGCATCTTTATTTACCATTTCCTGTCAGGGACTAGAGTTAAGAATTATTTTCTCCAACCAGTATCCTACCCAAGGAAGACAGAAAGGAAAATTAATCAGACTGTCCCACCTGTCCTTAGCTGGTACTTGTGAAGTGTATAAAAATCCAACAACTGTCTCAAAATACTCCCTCCGTTTCACGCTTGTGAGGGAACAATTGGAGAAATAAAAGGAGATCCTCATAATTTACCTGAAAAAATACTAAGGGTGTTATGGGGAACAGGAGTCAAATTGAATGTTTATTGCATTGGCAGTCTGTACCCCAACACAAGTTCTTTTTTGAGGCAGTATCTGTTTCATAATTCGTTGCACAGGGAACCAACACATTAATGAAGAGTCTGTGTGTCCCAGGCCCTGTGTAAGTGGGGTGATACTTTGCAAGCAAACTTTGTCAGTTAACACCTAAAGATAGATGTATCTTTTGGGTAGTAGTAGTACAAATGAGGTTTGTTTTGCTTTTCCTATCTCTAACTCTGTTGCCAATTCTGTCATCCAATTACTTAACATACTTGCTCTTTGTGGTGGGCTGACCCCAGCCAGTGACTCCCTGGCTGCCCCCACAGAGAATCCAAGGAGCCAGAGCAAGAGAACTCGCGGGCTGTGGTGAGGACACTTAAACGAGGGAAGCAAAGCTGAGCATGCCAGCTAAGCAGAATACAGAATTTATTCACTACTTCTCATCAGCAGGCAGATGTTTAGCTGCTTCCTGGAAAGCAGCACAGCTAATCATTACTTTGGGAGATAAACTCCATCACCACAAACTTCCTTTCCTTCCTTGTCTGTTCCCTAAACTTTAATTGCTGAGCATGACGTCAAAGGATCATAGAATGGTTTAGGGTGGAAGGGACCTTTAAGCATTGTCTAGTCCAACTCCCCAGACTTGGGCAGGGACATCTTCCTCTAGAGCAGGCTGATCAGAGCCTTGAGCATTTCCAGGTGTGGAGCATCCACAAGTTTTCTGAGCAACCTGTTCCAGTGTCTCACAACCCTCACTGTAAAAATTCTTCCTTGCAGCAGACCCTCTTAATAATTAAAACTATTGTCCCTATCTTGTCACAAGTACTAAAGATATATCTGGCACCAAATCATTCTAACAAAAATTTTAAATATATTTTTTAGTGGTTATAACCCAAGTCTGTCTGTTATCCCAATCCTACATAAAATTCATTTAAAAATCTGACCTCTCTTGCTTATCACTTTTTCTGAAGAAAGTTTTGCATAACTACAGGTATGTATTTTTTCAGGTTTGAAAGCAAAACCTAGCATGCAAGTGTTATACAATGTGCCACACACCCATTTATGCCTTCTAAATAGTTAATTTGAGCCAAATTACTACATGGAATATTTGAAGTTATTGATCTAAGTTAAGTTCATATGTAAATTTAAAATTTGTCCTTTTTATATTTTTGAGGGTATGTCCAAACAAGTGTTTAAAATTATTTTAGAAAGTTTAAATAAGTCACTGGTTCCTACCTCTTAGTTATCACTCCTGCCTTTCACACTGACCTTCTTTCATTGGTCCTTGAGGTTCAGCGTAAATTGTTTTAACAGAGACCATTCTTATTTAACATGAATCCTGTTTTATTTTGTATTGCTGCAAGTAGGGATATGCACGTGGTCAGTTGCCATAATGCATTCATGGTGATACAATTTTTTAAAATATGTGAATGCCATAGGAAGTGCTTAGCTGGTCATATCCTCAGGACTGTTTTTTCAAGCTGTTTTCCTTCATATTCAGTAAAACTGTGACATAATAAAACTATTAGAATGTGACAGCTATAAAATAGACATCAAAGATTTTTTTTTTATTGTGATTAGCATCTGTGGTAATAGCAGTACACCTGCCAACATGCCTCAAATGCCAATCACTTCTTTTAGTAATAGCTTGTATTTATTCAGTTTGGTGATGTCTTTACAGGGACTACCCACACAGATGCTGATGATTTTTAATTGCATTGGATGATAGAAACTGCAAAAAAGACTGACCCAACCAACTGATTTCAAATGAGTTGAACAAAATTATTGAACAGCCATTAGATGACAACAGCTCATGCTCATTTTCATCCAAAGCTGAACCTTTACCCTGAACGGAAAATTATTACTTAAGTTCTTTCAGAGCATACATTTTATTAAAAGCAGATTTTTCTCCAGAACTAAGAACAAAAGTTTTCTTTTGAAGTGCAATTTTTGATGTATGCTGATAGACTGAAAACCTTATCCATCACCTCTCTAGGAAACCTGTTGCAGGGTTTGATCACTCTCTAGGTAAGGAATGCCCAGTCTGAAGTCCCCTGAATGAGCTTTGAACCATTCAAATGTCCTGTCACTGAACCACAGTGAGAAGGGGTCAGCACCTCCCTCTCCATTTCCCATCCTCAGAGAGCAATGAGGTCATCCCTCAGCCTCCTTTCCTCCAAACCATGCTAGCCCGAAGTCCTTAGCTTCTCCTTGCAGGACATTCCTTTCAGATTTTTTGTTCTCCTCTGGACACATACAAAGAGTTTCACATCCTTCTTAAATTGTGCGGCCAGAAAGGCACCCAGGAGTCAAGGTGAGGCCCACCCCTGCTGAGTGCAGTGGGAAAACCATCTCTGCTGAGCAGCTGTTTGTGCTGGGTTTGAGGTACCCCAGGCTGGAGCTCACCCTCCTGGCTGCCTGGGCACCCGGCTGGCTCACACCGAGCTGCTGCCAGCCAGCCCCCCAGATCCCTCTCTGCTGGGCTCATCTCCAGCCACTCCTCTCCCTTTCTGTACTAGTGCCTGGCCCTGCTCTGTCTTGTGCCAAAGTCAGCATTTTGACATGTTACATTTCCTCCCATCAGTCCTTGTCCAAAGCCCCAGTCTATCTAGGTCCCTCTGTCGATGTCTTCTGTTCCTCAAGAGTCAACAGCACCTCCCAGTTTGGTATCATCAGTAAACCTGCTAATGGTGCATTCAAATCCTGCATCCAGATCACTGATGTATATATTGACCATATATTGAATATATGTATTGGCCCTAGAATTGAACCTGGGGCACACCACTGGTGACCAGGCACCAGCCAGATGCAGCCCCATCCACTACAACTCTTCGAGCTCAGCTCTTCAGCCACTTCTTCACCCAGTACACAATGAGACTGCTCATTCTAAATTGTGAATTCCACAGCTGGGCAGCTTGTCTGGAAGGAAGCTATGAGGAACAGTATAAAAGGCCTTATTAAAATCCAGAAAAATTACATCCACTGCCTCCCCTACATCCCCATGTGGGTGACCATATCATAGAGGGATATGAAATTGTTTAAACAAGTCTTTCCCCTTGTGAACTTGCACTGGCTGTGCCTCATGATTGTGGTATTCTTTAAATACCTTTCAATACCACCCACTATGATGATCTCAATAATTTTTCCAAGAACTGAGGTTAGACTAAGTGTAGTTTCCTACATTTTTCCTGACAACCTTTTTATAGATAGGAATAACACTGACTAGCATTCAGTCAGCAGGGACCTCCTCAGGCTCCCAAGATCCTTGACAGATGACAGAGTGGGATCCTGCCCTAACATCTGCCAGTTCCTTCAGAACTATGGGATGGATCCCATCAGGCCTTATGTACCTGTGAACATTCAGCCAGTACAGCTGATCCCTTACAATTCTGTGCCCACACTTGTGGCAGTCCAAGTCAAGGGCCTGAGCAGACCAAGGTCCACCAGTGTTGTTAAAGACTGAGGCAAAACCCCACAGAGAGTACAGTAGAATAATTCAGTACAAATAGTATGAATAATATAAATAGCAATAACTCCTTTGCAGTAGCAAAGAAGTGTTTGCAAAGTCCAGGGTCCCTTTATAGCAGGAAAAAAACATGACAAAAATAAAAATGAGCCAGTCTATGGCATAGTAAAAGAAGAGTGTCATGTCAAATAGTTAGCTAGTTTTCTTCGGATTTAGATTTTTTCTCTTCTCTTGTAGTCTCTGCTGCATTTTGAGAAAATGAAT